CCTTTAAGTACTTTTTATTTTTTTGCTATAGGCGCCTCCACGCTGTTCAAGGCTCAGCGGCCCCAGCAATTTACACCTGATATTAAAAAAATGAATTTTCAATATATCACTTCGTGTAAAAATTATAGTGAACCATTATTGCAAGCTGAAAAATTATGGCGTCACATGAATTTTAATAAAGTGCGGAAAGTTGTGATTTTGGCTACCGGTTGGACGAACACTGTGAATGATTCGTCAGCGTTGGCAATGCTTTCGCAGGCGTATTTGTGTCGAAAAGATGTGAATTTTATTGTAAGTGGAGCAATATATGTATGTACATATATCTATATATGTATTAAGTTATCCATTCCCTGATACCTAATATCTGTTATCTATAATTTGTCATCTATTATATATTACTAGTGAGCCCGCATGGCGTTAAAACGCACAAAAATGAATTTCAAAAACTTAAAAAAAATATTCCAAATATTAGTCAGAGTTATAAAAGATGCAAGTGCCATATTTCAATAAACTGATGAACTAATTCGAATTTGATTGTTCGAACAAATGGCAACCCTCCTTAGAAAAGATCAGGAATAAATCCTTTTCAAACCGATTTCGATTTATACCCATCTTTTAATAATTCATCCAACTTACTGAATAATTTGAATGTAACTGTTTAAACACGTGGCAACTCTCTTCAAATAATCGAAATGTTCAAACTAAAGATTTCTTAACATTATTTCGCTGGACTACGGTATTCTTTAATTTCATATACTCTTTGAATTAGTTAATTCAAAAAGACCTTTCAAACTGGTGGCAGCGCTCTTCAAAAGTATTTTAAAGCTTAATCATTGTTAACTCTCCTTCGCCGAATACTACGATACATATTTTAATTAACTGATGAATTAAATGGAATTTCAATTTTCAAACATATGGCAACCCCGCTATATACAGTTCAGAAAAAAAAAATTGCATACCCCCTTCGATTGATATCTATATTTTAATAATTCATTTAATTCATGAAATAATTTGAATTTAATTTTTTAAAAAAGGTGGCAACCCTCTTCCAACACCTCAAAAATATTCTTAGCATTCAAACTAAAGATCTCTTAACACTCCTTCGTTTGACATCCATATTTTGATATTTCGTAGAACTTGTGTATAACTAAATTCGTTATTCAAGCAAATGGCAACCCTCTTCAAAATATTTTCAAACTACTACTTTCTCAAACCCCTTTCGTTTGGCACCCATATGGTGATATATATTTCTCTTACCTAATATGATTTTTAAACAGGTGGCAACCCTCCTATAGTTCAGCTAAAAAAAAAAGCTTTTCAAAACCAAATCGATTGATACTGAATATAATTTTTTAAAAGGTGGCAACTATTTTCAAAAAAGTAAAACCTTATTGCACATCTACACTCCAAGGCTTTTAGTTAGACGCCTCATTTTGGAAAATCGAACGAACGGTGCGGATTTGATGGCATTGATTATTAAATAATTCGAATTAAATTTTTCAACATTATTAATGTATTAAATATTATCATTTATCTATTGTCTTTGATCTAGGTAGTTGATTAAAGCCTGAGCCCAAAAAGTATTAAATAAATAAACGCACTCAGAGCGAAAGCTTTTTGGTTTACGCCCAGTGTAAAATGGGTCACGCTAAGTAATAAATTTTTTGCTAATTTATAAAAAGTATCTGAAATTTCCGCAGCGCCACACAGTGTTCTATTTTAGGAAAAAAGCACAAGAACAGCGAAATATGAATGTTTTCAAAACCGTTTTAAAAGTACACTGCAGGCTGGTTTTAGGCAAAAAAACAAATTAAAACCTTCTATATTTGAAGGTCAAGGTAATTATTCTATCCAACGAGGCAATTTTTGGATTCTCCATCTCAAAAACTGTAAATCACCGTTACATTTATTTCGCTATCTCTTCTCGTTCTAGAGACATTTGACTTTGTCTCCTTTTCTCAAAAAGAGAACACTGTGCGCCGCCTGCGTCATATACGGTTTAATGTTATGCTATCAAATGTTACAGCTCCACCTCCATCTGTTAGCTCTTTTCGGTTGATATCTATGTATGTACATATATTAAAATGCTTTAATTAACGTATTTTTTAAATTTATTGTTACTTTTTTCAAAATTGTTTTGGAAATAAAGCATAATTAAACGTCTCTTGTTTGACATCAATATTAAGATATTCAATTTAACTTGTTACTTAAATTATTTCAAAAATATTACTTCAAAAAAATGTTCCCAATTAAGCTTTCTTAAACTACCATCGCTTGATATTCACACTAAATATTTCGTTTAACTTGTTAATTAAATTGATTTTTAAGATTTAAACAGGTGGAAACCATTTTCAAAAATATGTTTGAAATAACGATTTTCTAAACCTCTCGTTAGTTGATTAAATTGACTTTAACTGTTTACCAGAGGTCAACCCTCTTCAAAAATATTTTCGAAATAAAGCTTTTCCAAACTATCGTTTGACACCCAAATTAAAATAGTTGATTAAATTCGGGGTTAATAGGAATTGCATAAAAGAGGCAGCAACACATCCGTTTTAAGTTTGAGTTGTTATTGTTAAATATGGATACAGGGTTGGGAGACCTTTCTATATGTACAGTCGGCAGGCCAGTATAGACCTAACAAATATTTATTAGGTATACGCATCGAACTTCAAATATGTCCAGTATTTTGAATTTTTCTCATCTCATTCCCTCAGATTGTCGATGCTGGTTACTACGTAGACACGCTATATAAATGGTCCGCAATGAACACCGAAGAAATTGGAGAAAGTATTGGTAAAGGTCTGAAGCATTTGATAAAAGTTGTACCGCTGCAAAATATACACCTAATCGGTGAGTGAGAAAGTTAGAAAGGTACTTAGTATTTCATAAATGTTAATTACTCATCCCTATCCCCTTTCAAACATCAAGGCCACAGTTTGGGCGCACACATCATGGGCACTGCCGGGCGTACATTCACCAAATTGACTGGTAAAAAAATACCACGCATTACCGGTTTAGATGCAGCCAAACCATGCTTTCGTTCAGACGACACACTCACCGGCTTACATCGGGGTGATGCCGAATTTGTGGACGTCATTCATACAAATATTGGAGTATTGGCGAAGAAGGAGCCTATTGGCGATATCGACTTCTATCCTGGTGGTGCAAATCCTCTACCACCTGGCTGCTTGACTATATCATGCGCTCATTCACGCGCAGTGGAATATTTTGCAGAGAGTGTATATCCAGGCAATGCTAAAAATTTCATCGGTTGGAGATGTTCGGATTTTCAGGCGCTGGAGAAGGTGAAATGTAATCGGAAAATTACCTCACCTATGGGCATCGCGGTTGATCAGCAACAAAGGGGTATATTTTATGTGCCAGTGAACTCAAACTCACCATTCGGCAAAACGGCGAAACCGAGCAGCGAACGATGGCAAAATGCACGATGTCATAAGTGTGAAAAATCAAATCAAATCAAAAATCAACGAGCGGGTTTTCGGAAATTGGGAAAACGGAGGCGAAGGGATAATGGCCGGAAATGCATTAAGTGCAGAAAAGTAAACCAGGCGAGGAAACCGAAAAAGGGAAAGCAAGCGAAATATGCGAAACTGGGGAAAAAAGCTAAACAGCCAAGAGCAGCGAAACAAGCAAAAGCTGTTGAAAGGGCAAGATCAAGAAAAAGAAACATTCGACCAACACAGCCAGACAAGGCTAAAAACCTAAAGAAGAAAACATCTCAATGAAGGCTTAATTTATTTATTATTTTTGCATAGGTTTGTCAAATATTCATTTCGAATAGGTAGTAATGATATACGAAAAACTTAAACCATTTATCAAGACGAATTTGTATAAGGTGGCACTACCAGAGCTGCTGATTTCAAGGCGAATTTGTACTGATTGTCAAAATGATGTGTTTGTTGTAAATTAGTTCGTGTTGTTATTGTTCTTGTGCGTATAGTTTATTAGCATAGTTTTTGTTTTTGCGCTGCCGCTATCACTTACTATGAATTCGCCTTGCCATTTATGTTCGCCAATCAACTAAAAAGTTCCGAAATTGTAAAAGTATTGAAAAATAAACACTACGCCTGCTGTTAAGCCTCGACCCTGACATAATTTCAAAATATAAAAAGCATTTTAGCAAAATACGGTGGCAAATTCATTGTTGTTTACATAAGTATTATTATTTAAGCAGCTGTTCGCGATTTAGATACTTAAGTTTTTTTTTTAATTCTGTGTCTAAATACTTGTTATACAATACGTATGCACATTAGGGTGGATCGAAAAAAACAGTCACAGAGTGGTGTTGTCTAGAAATTTTTAGCGAAAATGAGTTCAGCTCAATAAGAACTTTCCAAACAACAGCAAATATACAAATCGAGTGATCCCTGCTTGAGACAATTGTCAATTCTATCTGGAAAGCTCTTTACTGTCTTTCGAAAGACTAAGTGAAAGATTTGCTAACGCGGAGGTTTTAGCGTTATGCTGTTAACCTTTTATCAATAAGTTTTAGCAATGAAAACTTTTAAATAAAAAAAATAAAGCAAAAATAAATAAAAATATTTTTAAAAATTAAACGAAATTAAAAAATACATATATGTGCGTATATCGTCGTATAAAGTACAAAACCGCGTATCAAGATAATGCAAAACCGCGTATGTGAGATTGCATAAATTATTTTCTAGAGAGTAAAAATGCTCATATTTCAAAGTGACTCTCTCTTTTTTACTAAAACAATCGAATTTCTGGCTAGTATATTTCAGGATATTTCAGGACGAATGGAAACGGCTTGAGCCAAGAGCTTGTGTGAGCAAATCCAATTTTTGATAAAAAATGACAGTTACGCGGTTTTGCAGAACGACGTTACGCAGTTTTATACTTTAAGCGACGATATATTTTTCCTTTTAAAATAATACAATATAAAAATTAGATTAGAAAAAGAAAAAATTAAATCAAGAAAGAAGAAAATAATACTTAAAATGAAATGCAGTGAAAAAATATTTTTATTTTCTAAACAAAATCTAAAAATTAAAATAAATATAATTTAAAAAGGCCAAAAGCTAAAATAAAATAAGATCCTAAAAATTAAATTAAACAAAAGAAAACATATCTTTATCTTTAAAACAATAAATCCTAAAACCAGAAGAAAATTAAATTAAAAAAATAAAACATATTTAATAAAAAAAGCAAATATATATTATGGTTCTTTTCAAAATTTAACTAAAATTGCAAAAAATATATTTTACTTTAAAAAACAAGAAAATCTTAAAAAATAAAAAAATAAATAAGATAAGTTTCTAAATACATATTAAGTTAAATAAAAAAATATATATATGTTTTTCTTTTTAAGACAATGAAACGTAATAAATAAAAGAAAATTAAATAGAAAAAATAAAAAAATATTTAGCTAAAAATAAAATACATTTACGTAAATTTAATGAAATAAAAGAAATATATTTTACTTATTAAAATTAAATAAAATAAGTTTCTACATATGTAATAAAATTGTAAAAATAACTATATTTCTTTTAAAGACCATGAAATCTAATAACTAAAAGAAAATTAAGTAAACAAGGAAAAAAAGTGTATGAAAAAAAAATCCGCTGACCGAGGACTCGACTACGGGTCTAAATATTTAATCCCGTTCCCGCCCATCCCGAAATTCAATTTTTAAGTCCCGAAGCCGCCCATCCCGATGTGGGTCCCGAAATCTATCACTAAGAAAAATTCACATGTCTTTCAAATTAATTTTAAATAATAAAAAAATAATAATGAAAGATCTGGCATCTACCGATTATTTTGTTTTGCTTTGCAGTTCGTTTTAGTGTCAATAAAACAAAAAGTGCATATTTCATAAATCGTTTTTAAGGAAGATTTTCTGAATTTGCGGATTTATCGGGTGTCGGGAAAGGATTTTGGTCCCGTTCCGCACGCAAATTTTTTAAGACCTTCCCAATACCGCCAATACCGACCGTGGGTCCCGATATACCGCGCCCACCTCTAGGCTCGACCTCGGACCACCCGAAGTTGATGTAAACGTGGTAAAATGAAATGAGACGAAGGGTTAGTTAGAATGGAAATCGAAAAAAAACATGGCTTTTCTGAATGAATCTGAATGGCTTTACAGTTTGAGAAACAGTAAAAAATCCACTGTGAATTATCAAAGCTTACCCTTTCTATTAAGCAACTCTAACTCTTTTCGTTTTATAAAATCCTGATATGTTAGAGTTCTTTGCCCAGTTACATTCGTCTCGCTACCAGCAAATACTTGGGTAGTGTCATTTGTCGTGTTGTTATTGTGTAGCAGTGTTTGACTTAGAAGTGTGATGGCTGAAAATAGTGTTTATGTAAGAGTAAGTGTTGGTGTTATAGCCCAGTTACCCAACAGACTTCTACATGTGAAGTGCTATGCGTTGGGTAACCGCTTCCACGCAAAGCTCATTTAACAGATTGCTTATGCGACAACTCTCACGCAACGCCAAGTATGCATAACTGAGCTATTAGCCAATCTGTGTTTGCTGTGTTTTTTAATTCTTAGTGCCGTTTTCTCAAGTAGCTTTTTTCAGAACTTAACTTAAACTTAAAACTTAAACTTAAAGAACTTAAAGCTTAAAGTGAAAATAAATTTTAAACCCTTCTTGAGAAAACGGCCCTTAAAGTTGCAATAAAATTTTTAAATTATAAATTTATAAAACAACATTCCTCAACTCACCTTCGTTTTGCTCCTCCTCGTTGTAAGACGAGAAAGAGTTACCTTTCAACGTCAAGTACTTCAAAGTTGTATTCATGGTTGTTAATGTACGAAAAGGTACTTGTGTTAGATTATTGTGTGCTGCTGAGAAAATAACAACACTGTGGCCCATACGGGTTTCATTTTCCAAAGTTTTGTTGTACAGCGTATCGTCATCGTCAATGTGCTTGTAAGAGAAATCCAAGTAGATTTTGGCCGCTGGAAAGATGTCACCATCTACAATTATTAAGATATTTAATAAACATTTGGAACTCAGAAAAGTTCTTATAGTGTTCGCGACTTTCATTATAATAAGCCAAAAAATAAAAATAATAGCCATGTAAATATTTGGGATTCACACATCTTTCCTAAGTTTTTAGACACCAATTAGATTTTATGCCATTTCCGAAAAGCAAATGTGGTTTTACGGAAATATTTCTCACTACCAAAGTATGTGTTTGGGCAAAATTAAATTAATACTTTTTTAACATAAACTAATAGTATTTGCTTTGTATTTTTCGTGCATTCATAAAAAGTCATGTATCGTGTAAACTGGAAATTAACATGAAATCTCAAAAAATCATAAATTGCCGAACGGTTTCAAAAAAAAATTCAAGATGAATAACTCAGTGAGCGGGAAGACCAGATTATTTGTATGTATAAAAAATTTTTTTGTTTTTAAATCAAAAATAGGGGGTATGCACCGTAGCCAATGGTGATCGTGGTTGTAAGTCATGCAGAGTCGGCAAAAAACTACAGATAAGTTGTCCGAAGTATGCGCCAGACTAAGCTTTGAGGTGCCATCAACTTATTACTTTAATGGATCCTGCTATATAAATGACACTTGAGAAGTGTGTATGCAAAAATTTCCTACATTGCATAGCGGAAATTTTTTCGCATGCAGCTGTCCACATATGTATATGTGCTGGCCTTTTTATGCAGATTGATCAAGGATGTAGAATTTATTTAGGCGCTAGGTGTAGCAGTCGCCTGCAAAAGAAAATATCGAAAATACATATGTATCTCATAATAGAAAACTCAAAGCAATCCGGAAACCTTTCCAAAAATCCGAAAAATATTTAATAGTCACGAATAAAATATCCAGTGCATACCGAATATTACTGAAAAAAATCCCAAATAGTCCAGAGAAAAGCTCGAGTGATCTCGAAAACATCATAAGAAAGACTCGAAAAATGTGCAAAAGTTAACAAAATCCCGAACGATCCGAAAACCAATTGCAGAAAATTACGAAGTGGCTCAGAAAAACTCCCAAAACAAAACTACGGAAAAAAGTCCGGAAAAGTATCGAACAAATACCAAAAAATTACTAACGGTCACGAAAAAATAAACTTAAAAACTCGGAAAACCTAAAACGGCAAAAGCCGAAGAGAAAAAATCCCACTTTGAACACCGAGTATTACCGACAAAATCCAAAACGTCCAGAAAAAATCTCGAGTGACCCCGAAAAAATCATAAGAAAATCTTAAAAGTCCCGAAAAAATGCGATTAATCATAAATCATTTCATTTGCCTTGCATATAAAAGACGGGTTTAATTTTGAGCTTGGTTGAAGCATACATACATAACGCTGTTGGTGTCCCTCCTGCTTTTCAAAACCAAAATAATACTCAATAGCTACTATTTTAGCTGATAACAAACAGTGGCTACTGCAATTGGTCGTTTATTGCTTAGGCGTAATCAAATGCACTTGTGCAGCTCTTTAAGATGAATTAAAAATGTCACTCATACGTCGTGTAAAACTTTACACTATTCAAGTGTGCTTCTCACAGCGCTTTCCATGCAGTATTCAGCACTATTGAGAAATCTATAAAATGAAAAAGGGAATATACATACGAGTACACTTCTTAGGTATTGAAGTTGCATTAACCAATGTCAAGGCAGAAATTTATAACTGCTGTAGGCAAAGGTTAAGTAAGTTAAAGAACTATCCACCACCATTGGAGTGGGAACTACATATTTTAATTTTTAACAGTGTGATAAATTCTATAATTGATTGGTGCAACCGGACATCAATGTTTGCTAAAGCGAATTGTGCCAGTTCATTTAGAGAAAGAGACTAACTTCAAAGTAGATGCATATGTATGTATGTATGTATGTATATGTATATATAGGTGATAAATACATCATCTCTTCATAGCGGTTTATTATTTGATTTGGCTTATCACATTTTATTACAACCGGTAGTATTTGCTATTTATTTGTTGTGCCGAAAATAATCGTATTCGTTAGCTAAAAATATTTAACAAAACAAAAAATGAAAAATATTATATACTGATATTGTCTTATTTATGAAAATGTTCTTGTTAAAACTAGTTCCGTTTTATTATGCTCATTGCTTAATACGTATGTATGTATATGTACATATGTGTACGCCTTTCACATGGATCCTTAAGTGCAATATTTTTCGGCCTTCTCATATTAAATTACATTAGACCGTAGCAGCTTACAAAAAAAAGAAAAAATGGTTTTGATGAGCTTTAATTTACGGACATTAGAGATACGTTAGGTTGATAAAATCGAGGCGAAACCTACGTTCGGCAAAAAAAAAAAAGAAGAAAGAAATTTCGAAATTGCTTTCGAATCAAAACACTTTTTTAGGCCATGGTTATGCTACCAATTTTGACTGGAAATCAAAAGAGAAAAATTTCGGTGATTGGAGAGAAGTGGTTACGCTGTGTTTGCTGATTGGTGAACACAGGAAGTGCTTCTTATGAAATGAATTTCTCCATTTCATGCAATTTCATACACAATGAAAAAGGTTACCCCTACATTCAGACAAAAAAAAAAATCAATTTTTAAATTGCCTTGCAAAAATATCAAACTCAGGGGTGTACTGCGAACTTTATTCGTACGGTCTAGTATACATATGTACATACATAGGTCCCTTCATTCAACCTTAAATGTACGGTGGCAGACAAACAAGTTTTCAATAAATGTTCAACAAAATTAAATTTTTAATTATTTTTTTTTTTCAAAATTAATATATATGCAGGTTTGTAGCCCATTAAATTTAAATACAACAAAGTGCAAAACTGAAGTCTTTATTATTATTATCTTTAATTTTTCGCATTTTTTTTTTTACAAAGGTGTTTTGCATTTTTCTCCATATAAATCAACTTTTGAACATATTTTCTATGGAAGTAAATGCTTGACACCGTCAGAAAAAAAATGACAAAAATCAAAGGTAAGTCCTACCTACTTCAGATTTGCACTTTATTATACTAAAAATGACTGCATACCAAAATTCTGATTAAAAAACTTGTACTCTTATTGAAACTTTATAAAATTTTCCTAATTTGGGCACAAAGCTTGAAAATTCGGACTCAAATGATTTTCGTTAGATAGTGAGCTATGCTTTCACAAAAAGATAAGAAACATTAAATAAACAAAAGAAAGCTGGCCAAAACTGGTTTAAAATTTCGTGCTGCTATTTGTTTGCCAGCCACTGTATATCGTCTGCCAAAGAATACGCAATTATGTAAATAAGTACATATCAATACTTACTTTTATTATTGAACGATTCATGGTTCAGAGTACCATTGCTGTAGACCCACCACATAATTGAACTCTTTATGCTATCCATTATGCAAGAATTATTCAACTCGCTTCTATGTTTCCGCATAATTTTATTTACTTCATAGGAATTAATAAGATCGTTCCAATTACCGCGTAAACTTTGTAGCTCCCATTCAATTTGCTCCAGCGTTACTGAGTCTTCCACTGCATTTTTAGGTTCAATTACTTTACCAGTATGCTGCTCTTCGGAATCAAGTGGAATTATCTGCTCGCTCGAGTTTGTTTGTTGACTTTCTTTGACACCCGTTGTGACATTATTCGGAGGTTTACCTGCAGCAGCATCTTGGTTCCCGCCATTTTGGGTGAAATTGTATTGGTAGTATGCCTGAGCCTCCTCAGTTTTAAACTGAGATGATTCTAGAGATTTTGTGTCATTCGTTGACTGCTTACTCAGCTGTTGACCGGTAGAAATAAATTGCCATAACGTATTGAGCTTATCGTTGATGTTAGAGTCTTCATTGTCTTTACTGCTGCTGTTGTTGTTATGGCTGCTATGGCTGATATTTTTTGTATCGCTATCGTCGCTTAAAATTTTATCAATGCTGAGAAAGTTGTTTGCACTGCTGTTGCCATTGATCAATTTCCCATCACTATCATAAAGCGGTTCAGTCTGATTTATTAACGAACTGGCATTATCAGCTGTGCCACCAACAAAATCATTATCATTTCGGATACTGTTTGTGAGAAATGCCAGCAAATGTTTATTGTTTATTTGCCAGTCATATGTTTTATTTGTATTTGTGGTCGTACTTGTTGTAGTTTTTACAGCTGACGTTGAAATAATGTTATCAATTATTTTTTTGTTGCTATTATTATACACTTCATTAAAGCTGCCATCGAACGCTACATAATTACTACTGTTTATGTCATCGCTGTTGTTGTTGTTGTTACTGTTGTTGTTGTTGATATCATTGATAACCGTTTTAAAGCGATCGATGAGTGCTGCCGCATGTAGTCCGTGTAATTTGAAGTGGATTACAAGTATTACCAACGCCAATTTCTGTCCGAAATTCATTTTTAGCGCCTAATAAATGAGGGTGCCTCCTCTCCCTCCCTTTCGCACTGGAGTGTATGTGTATTAATTTTGGCGTATTTTACTAAGCCGAGAACAAAAATGGCATGTGCGGAATACGCATAAAGAGGCTATTTGGTTTTAACACTTTGATAGCTTTGGCCTAAGTGTTTTAGGTTTATTACGCATTGAGTTTTCTATTGCTTTTGCCAAGTTATTGACCGATAGTCTTTGGCTCGATTTTTTAACACTTTTATAGCTTGATTTATTAACGTCGTAAGTTTGTATTTTTTTGTGATTGTATTTTGCATTTCTTGTTTCATACATGAATCCAAATTTTTGCAATTATTTTTTTGATTTCTGCAAGTTTGTCCATTTATTGTGGTTTGGAAGCGTTACACAGTCCAAATAGTTTCTCGTCGTCAGGGTTACGCTCTTGCCCGAAGGCCGGTGCTCCTAAGGACTTCAGACTTATTAGTCTGTCTTCGTTTCTGCTAAAAAACGTTGGAGATATCAATTGACGTTCATACTAAGAAACGAGATTCCTCGTGACTGCCGAGAGCTCAAAGTGCTTATTGCAAGGGACAGTCGGTGGATACCGCCCTACACCCATTAGTAGAGTAGATGGAGGGGGCCTGAGAAAACGGCCCTTAGGTTATCGAGAATTCAGATGAATTTTATTTTTAAAGTAAAACCGTTTTTTTTTTTTTTAAACCGTTTCCTGCGAGTACACCTTCTTCTAATGGCTTCTGTAGCACGCGCCTGGCACACCGATTTTTTGAATTTACTACGAAGACTAACGTTTGTTGCATTAAATATTAAGAACATACATACATATTTACAAATACCAAATATAATATTTAAATTATTTAAATACGAAAAAGCGAATTCTTTAGTAGGTTTCACATCCGCCACGAACCGTTACTGCCAAAGAACTAAACCAAATTTTAAGAAATTTGCGCAAATGGTCAGCGTTCATGTAGGGCCTGATTTGTGGCCGATTTTATGGCATATCAGTAGCGGAATGAGCGTGCTTATCAATTTTGGCAATTATTGTTATTGATATTGCTATTTTTATTGTTGTTGTATTTATATCATTTTTGGTAGACGGTGCGCTGTCTTATCAACTACTATTATGGCACTTATTTGGCTATCAGTCGTGGGTACGATTTTATTGTTATCATCCTTTTTTTGCTACATTATTTCAGCAGCTTTAGCTACGTACACGCAAATGTGTCTTAAGCCAAAGGCGCCTCACAAAGACCCCAACTAATTTACTTTGTATCTAGCGCGTGCCTATTTCACTTGACTCAATCCGTCATGAGTTCCCATATGATGGCTTAGTAAAAATTATGGTATAGAGTTTTCTTTACTGTCTCTCCCTGTTTTCTCTGTGTAAAATCATTTATTGACAATATGGTATATCAATACCAATACGTTTGCAAATTTTTATTTTATTTCTTGCAGTATATGTATTTGTATAGGTACAGGTGCTTTAAACGATTTGGGTGATATTTTGTTATCAATTTCTTTCTATTTATTTTTCTTCTAATCAATTTAAATTGTACGCTTAAAAATTAATATTTCCTCAACTACTACATCTTTTGTCTGGCCTAAGTAAATAGCAAGTTAATACCCCATGTGAGTGAGTTAATACCCCTGTGCCCAGCGGAGAAAATTTAGTAGACCTTCCGCAAACTTGGTGAAGATGAAAATGAGCATACTTGAATTATGGAAGAAATACTTTTCCATCCTGTTGAATGGTAACAAACAACATCGAACGCAGTTTCAATCAGGGTGCGGTTTTTAAATCCGATGTTGGAAAAGATAAGAGCTGCAGAACTGAACCGGTCAGGTACAATTTTTTACAAGAGCATACAAAGGTTAGGTTAGGTGTAGGCGGCTGCCCATGTGGCGGCTCATGTGGATCGTGAAAATTGGTGCTTTGTGATACCTCTGCGACGGGTACCTGCGAAGTTAGATCGAGAATCGCTGAGTACCGAGAACGAAGTTTCACAGACTGCCTATCTTAGAGAGTATGAACCCAAGTGCCTAAGCCACAATCTGACAAAAGCTGGGCAGTCTAAGGGGAAACGCTGAGATGACTCTACCTCGTCGTCCTCCATACAGCTGCGAAAAAGGGCGTCCGAAAAAATATTTAATTTCCCCGATAGGAGAGTGCCCTGTTAGTGCACCCACTAGAATCGAGAGATCCGGCTTCGCGAGCTTAAGTAGATCCCTAGACCGTCCCCGGTTTACCATCGACCAGAACGACCTCGCCGTAGCTCATATACTGGTTTTCCTCCAGCATTCGCTGAGTTTACCCGAAGCCCATCAGCCGAAGTATTCAAGGGAGCTCCCACCATCGCTCTTCTCGGCCGCACAGTTTCCTGCGATTTTATTATGGCCTTTACCCGTCAAGTTTCGACCCATCCGTGTAAAAGTTCATCTCTGCCTCCCTCAAACCACCACCCACCATCCACTCATCCCTAGATGAGATATGCGTTGAGAAAGAGCTAGCTAGTGCCAGGCTAGGCACGCAAGGATCCGTGTTACCTGGAAGGAGGTCGAAGCCCAAGAGAATACTAGAGTGTCCAGACCTAGAGTCCGCCAGGCAACCAGTGCCCCTATGTTTGACCGCCGCCCTTGCTGCAGCTGCTTTAAATTTGATATCGACAAGCGCTGTATTAATCATATCGTTAAGGGCGAGAGTGGGAGTGGTTATGATCGCCCCACTGTTTCCAATAAGGGCAGCTCGTTGAACTCGCTCCAGCCGGCCTTCAAATGCAACGCAGAACCACTATTGTCAACAAGTGCTACTTTGGCCTGAGTAGGCAATTGGAAAGAACCCGAAAAGTATTCATCGCGGATCCCTCTGCGAAGGAAACATCAGGTGGAGAGACAATGGGCTTCACTTTGCATTTCCTATTAGCATCAGTTTATACTTTCGTGATTTTTTCGGACTCGTCGTGACTATTCATTTTACTACTGGGTGCATAAACGTAAGCATGTACGGAATGATCGAAAGTTTTCTGTATTAAGTCCTTAGTTAAATAATTTGTCATGACTGTATTATAATTAATTATATTTAATCGTTTTCTTAGAATATTGGGTAGCACAAGCTATTTAAATGCCTTATTTCATTAAACAATATTTATATATATATATTTAGACTTCAAATTGAGTCTTTTATTTGCTTACATTTTTGTATGAGTATTATAAATTTTTTGTACAACTTGGCAATACAAGGAGTTTTAGGATTTAACTAAAAAAGTATTTCTACGCTAACAAGGGAAAGTTTTCGAATACCGGAAATTAAAAAAAAATATTTATATCGTCGCTAGACACGACCGTCTTTCTATTTTTCAAACGGAATTTAGTTATACTAATTTCAATTACTAATCGATGATATGTATGTACATTAGACCGCGCCACCTTAGAAGAAAAAAAAAGTTCGCGGTACACCTTTGAGTCTAAAGTAATTTTGCAAGGCAATTTCGATTTACTTTTTTTTGCCGAACACCTTAGTACATTAGGGCGGGTCGAAAAATACAAAAGGTTTCATAGGTCTTAAAAGGTGCTTTTAATCGCTTATTCTAGAAAAGAAATCCTGTTTCTCTGCGACAATATCTTCAGTCTGCGGAATGAGCTTGAAAAATTGAAAATAAGAGTGGGAATGCCTATTTTTAAAACTTTTACAACGACTTCTGTAGATCGAATCCGGAACTTATTTCCTATCATAAAGTCATACAAAAATTTGGACAAATTAAAAGCGAGAAACATCAATAATTTAATCAATTAATCTTTTTTTCCTACTTAATTTATTAATTGATTAAATTATTGATGTTACGTACTTCTAATTTGGCCAATTTCTTTATTTTTTATTATTTTATTATAGGAAATAAGTGCCGGATTTGATCTACACAAGTCGTTGTATAAATTTGTAAATTGTTATTCCCACACTAGTTTTAAGTTTTTCAAGCTCATTCCGCAGACTGAAGATATTGTCGCATAGTACCAGGATTTCTTTTCTAGAAAAAGGTATTAAAATAGCACCTTTTAAGACCTATACAATTTTCGTATCGAACATTTTATGTTTTTCGACCCACCGTAATGTACATTCGGCAATACAATTTTTGTTTTTTTAAATAGTTGTACTGTAAAAATCGAAAAACCTTCTTAGCAAAAGTTTAATGATTTTTTGAGAGATTTTATATACTCAAATGAGGATGGTGCGTTAGGATGATAAGAACTGAGGGTATGTACTATAACGGTGTACTTGAGGCCAACGAACTTTGGAATAATAAAAAAAATTCTCTCCTCCAAACAGACAACGAGATATCGTGCTTTAGGATCAGACTGTAGATGCACACTTCTTATTGCGGTGATAACAACAAGTTTCATTTTCTGCAGAAAAAAGAGAGAAAATAAAGTTTCGCATTTAGTAAGAGAAGAGAGAGATGTTGGCTCCTCGAAGCATATCTTCCGTCTATCATAATTCAATTCTTCGTTATTTGATCAAGGGACACCCAATTGGCTTTGTGGATGTTTCAATGCTGGTGTCTGGTATTTTTAACTACCATATTCCGTGCCGCGACAAAGTCGATCAATCTCTCTCTGTTGAACCAATATGCCTTCTTTACGTGCCTTAGCACAACTATAACATCTTGACGGGAATAGGGCTCATATGCTTCCTCTAAGCGTTCGTAGAACTGCTCTTTAGTCTTAACATCCTTCTCCTCCGTCGAGGCGTGTGAACAAAGGTGGCTTAAGTGGTTGAGTTTGGTTTTGAAGCGGATGGTGGTGGAATTTTATTCACTGATGGGTGTGAACCTGGAGACGAAGTGTCGTAGTCTCCGCCTAACCACAAATCCCACGCCAACTTTGTGCGCAGCAGCTATGGTGAATGTCACACGCTACATATTTCATGAATAGAGGCGGAAAGACGGGAGTGCGAAGAGATTGAGATGATGACTGACAGGAATGCGGCTCGAAAATTCTTTCAGAAAATAAGATAACAATCAAATGATTTCAAGACCTCAGCGCTTTTGAATGGCGACACATTTGGTACGTTTTATGAAGAAGAACCCGAACCAATGTATAGGGAAGAAGCTCACGTCCCTCCCCGACCGCGGGGAGCAGAATTTGGTCTG